TCTATCCATATTAATTCAAAATTGTCAAATTTACAGTACATCTGTGATATTTGAAAAAAAAATTAGGTGTAACATTTTATTAAAAATAAATTATTTAATTTTGGAAATTTTGGTTCCCTGAACAAAGAGATAATATTAAAATATTTATCATAAAAGTCGTCTTAAATTATTTTCATTCGTTCCGAATACAGATTTTGTATTTTAAAATTTGATTAAAAAACTCATGGTTAATTGGTAACTAAGAAGTCAGATCTATCATACTATTTACAATATCAAAACCTTTAAAAAATCATATTGGCATTTTAATGAAGCTAATATTCCGACTTTAAGCTCCAAAATTTTTTTTCGGCCCTTTCTTCTCCGTTTCCCTTTTAAAGGCCCGCCTTTACACTAGTTTTGGCCATCTTTAAATGTGTATCACAAACACCCATTCCATAAATACCGCTTAAAAAAAAAGAGTACGATCATTTGTCGGACGTTTTGTCAAATTTTGGTCTCCAGTTTTCGAAATAAAATGAATTTCCAGACACCTGTTTGTAGTTGCGTAACTTTAAAATATCATAATATTTCAATAATTATATATATTTTTAAAACACTATTTTCAAGACACAGAAAAGGTGTCTAAAATTTTTATTTTTATTTTATTTAAAATTGGATTTTTAAAATATCCCACAGAGCCTGATTTTCCCCAATATTCAGTTCTGTATTTCCGCCACTGGTTGCTCGAAGTTGTTCATGACGTCAGCTCTAAAATAAACACACAAGAAGGATCTACAGTCTGTTACTTACACAGATATGCAGAGATACTTTTATGTCAACACTTAGAGAAATCACTTGTTCACTCAAGACTTTATAAGGTAGGATCTGTTTGAGATTTGAAACAAAAATATTTTCCTTTCCAAAGTTTATATCATTTTTTGTTATCTTTTAAATTTGAGATTCCCCGTTTATCATATTTCTTGATACATTTGTCCGGGTCGATATCAACATGTATAAAACTGGAGCATATCAAACGTCCTTTATCTCAGGCTCTATTAATTTTAAACTATAATAATTTTCAAAATATTTTCCCGTTCGTGCCCGTTGAGTTAATCTCTTTCGGCGATTTCGACATAGGCCCTACCTATGGATAGTAAAGTCAGCCGCCTTATTTTCCATAAAGTAAGTTAGCTACCCACTAGAACTTGGTGGACACGAGATCCGAAATCGAGACTTTGGTGAGAAGTCGTAATCCTTACTTTTCGACGAGGCTGTCCGACTTTTCAAAATGCTTGTCTTTATTTTCTGTATCAATCATTTATTTAAATTATGTAATTAGATGAGGAATCTTTTACGTCATGTCTCAAAATATTAAATGCCACCGCTCAGCTTATCTAAAATTTTGACCGTTGCTTTCGAAACTTGATGTGCTGAAATAGTGAAAATATAAAACAACAGCTAGTCTTAAACGAATCGCCCATAAATGACGTCTAACTTTTTTGCGATATTTTTCTCTCTCTCTCCAAATTGCCACAGCCAGAGCACTTATCTAATATCACATCATAACGTTCTACTACACCCTAAATCATGATTTTAAATGAAATGCATACTTTTTAACCCTATATAAATACAATAACAAAAGAAATTCATAAAAAACGTTTTAATAACAAGTTTTTATGTAATAATGCACTAAAAAGTAGAAAATAATTATAAAATACTATGTAAATAACTATAAAAAAAATTCATAAAAAACGTTTTAATAACAAGCTTTTATGTAATGATGCACTAAAAAGTAGAAAATAAATTATACACTACTATTTAAATTACTATAAAGAAAATCGTGGGTCACTTTAGTACTTTAGTACCTACTAGCCGTCCCGGCCAGGCCCTGCTCTGGCTTCTGTGAAAAACCTTTCTGTTAAAGACCATTACCTGTGTGTTTAGTAATCATCATAAACCCGGCATTGCCCACCCAAACCACAACCAACCAAAACAACAAAAACGCAAACATAACGCTAACACAATTACAAATACAAACGAAAACAAAAACCTAACAACAAATCCAACCACAACCACAAACACCAATACAAACACAAAGAAAAAACAAACAAAAAAGCAAACGAAAACAAAACCTAACAACAAACCCAACCACAAACACCAATACCAACAAAAAAAAACAAAAAACGAAAAAGCAAACGAAAACAAACCAAATCCAAACGCAAAACCAACCAAAAACACAAATACAAACCCAAACAAAAAAAACACAAACAAAAACGAAAAAAGAAAGAACAAAAACGAACCAAATCAAAACGCAACCACTAACGCAAACCCACCTAAACACAAAGAAAACACTAACGCGAACATAAACGCCCGGGGCGGAATCACCTGTTTTAGCTTAATGAACGACTATAGTACCCCAACTTATTCATAGTCTTTTGCACTCACTTAAACGAACGCGCCTGTTTCAATTTAATGAACAATTTTAATACTCCAAGCTTATCCGTAAAATACCAACAACATTTGCACTTGATCAATCCCCGCTAATTATGTAATTATTTTTTTTCCCAACACCAAAACAAAGTAATTAAAAAGTAAATTATTTTCCACAAAATGCAATGGTTTTATAAAGGGAAGTAATTTTGTTTTCCTAATTTATCAAAGGGAAGTAAGTGCTATAGGACTAAATAAAGACATAATTAGAATTTTTGTAAAAGATGATATAATTTTAAACCTTGTGTTTAATGAACATGCCGACAATTATTACTATAATTTGAAAAATGAAAATTATTTCCCAACACTTTCAATAGTAATTTTTTAGCTCATAAATTTAGACAAATGCGCACGATAATTTTCTAACACTTAAATTCATCCAAGACCAACGACAAACATATGCATTACTTACAGAACTGAGCTTTATATATTAGATTGGATACCTTTACTAATATTTGAGAAGAGACCCACGCTTTTCTTTATAGTAATTTAAATAGTAGTCTATAATTTATTTTCTACTTTTTAGTGCATCATTACATAAAAGCTTGTTATTAAAACGTTTTTTATGAATTTTTTTTTTCAGTACTTTACATGTTTTATTTGCAATAGTGTTACAAGACTAAAAACCATTGCGCGTCTATTGAACGTGATAGCGCAGCTATTAAACCTGATTGAACGTGATGACGTATGTGGTGTGGTTGGATAGACATGCCTACTAATTCGGTCCAAATTTTAATTAAATTCATAAAAAATTAATTAGGCATCCAATTAAGTCAAATTTAGATTCAGATTGCATTGTCTTCATGTCTTGACCCACGTGCCAACCGTGAATCGTATCGGTCAAGTAGAACTGTCCGAATTTTCACTCCTGCGTTTCCATCTAGACTGACGACAGACTGTCGACAGACTGTCGACAGAGGAAGTGAGTTAAATAAAAGCTTGTAAAGAAGCGTAAATCACTTTAGTATCTATTAGATACCTGTATTAATATTTATAAAAAGAGACCCACACTGTTCTTTATAGTTATTTAAATTGTAGTGTATAATATATTTCTAATTTTTATTACATTATTATATTAAAGCTTGTTATTAAAATATTTCTTGTTTAGTTCTTTTTCATTACTTCAATTTGTAAACATTTACAATAGAATTGCATGACTAAAAGCCATTGCGCACCTAATAAACGTGATAACGCGCGTACAATAGTGCGGAATATTGTTGAGTTGGAATCTAACATGAAAGACAATTCATACAGGGCAGATAAAAATCATTTAAAATGTGAGACATTTAAAAGCCACATTTTAAAGGTGACATTAGCTCAAACTAAAACATAATTTATAGAAGAAAATCAAAAGTAATGTAAGTTTTAAGATTATGTACTTGATTTTGATATGACAATAATTTTATTGCAACTAGCTTCATCTTTTTCTGTGTTGTTAATTGAGTTTATCTAGCTGATAACTAATTAAATGAGACAACTTGACTTAAAAATTATCAAGCTTTTATGAAAAGTATATAGTTTGCGAATGTGTTAAGCTACTTTTTAATATTTTATCAGTTAAAAACATTTCAAATTTGATATTGAACAATATAATTTTTTTTTTTAATGTAGGCTAACATCTGATGTAACCGTTATTTAAAGTAAACAAAAATATGTAATATAATTTACTGTGATACAATGTAATGGTGGATGAAGTGAAGTTGAGTTGAGCTGATTCAACTCCAGTTTAGTTCTATGACCAGATTATGTTAGTCAGCACCTCACCAAACTGTATTCACATCACTATAATAGAATCTGGAACTCATCCCTAAGGTTGACTTAAATGAGTATAAGTTTTGTAAAAAAATCATAAAATGTAAGTTTATTTTACAATAATTTTTTTATTGCAGGTAAAGTTGTCAGAGATGGGAAATACAGGTGGAAAAAAAAGAGAAAATCAGTTGGCAGAGAACGGTAAAATAAATGTTTCTAGGCAACGTGTTTTGTATTTGCTGTAAATGTTTAGAACATCCCAGTTGTTTTAAAAATAGAGAAATGTTTTATTTACTGGTATAGGTTTGTGTTAAATCTAATTGAAACCTTGATGTTCAAATGTTTTAGGTCTAACACATAGACAAGATGAGACAACACAGTTGGAAGAAAAAAAAACTAAAGCTGGTTTTATACCAGGTGAGTCTCAGATTGTGTGAAATATGTACATAACATGTAAGAAGTTAAATTTATACAGATCTATTGGGCACATGATTACATTATTTAAATATATGAAGTGCGCGAGTTTTTTTTACAGCTAATACATTACCTGAGTCTGTTGACAACTAATGGTTAGTTAAATGGTCGTTTGGCAGGCAATATTTACCACATGATACATGTATACTCTACTTCATCTTCACCAGCTAATAAAAAAAATTAGAAATATGAAGTTTTTGTTAATTTTCATAGTTGCACCTTTTGTTTGACAAGTACCTTATTTTAAATACATTTTAATTTTGTATTTTTTAAAATATGGATTCCCTCCCCTTGTACCACTTCAGGACATCATGAAGCCGAGATCTGCTATGGAGGTGAAGCTGACTTACACAAGCACTATACCGGCTGTAAGAAGAATCCAGGTCATGTCAACTTTATACCTGTTAATGATTTTAACTTGGATCATCTCCCCTCACGTTACCGTGACGTCATCATGTTGGAGGTAATCAAAGCTTTGTCTGCCCTAACGGTCCTGATAAAGGTCAAGTACACCAGTCTAGAGAGACCAAAGTCTGTTCCATGCTTCAGTGGTCAGTATCCATTTTATAACACCAGAGGAAGTGACGTGTTGAGGACAGGGACGGGGAGGGTGTGGTGTGTGTACAAGTACACAGAGAGTGACAACATGGGCACTTGTCCATGTGGCAAGTGTCAACACTCGGACACACCCAGCAAAGTGTGGGGGGAGGTTAGTGTGGTGACAGCCACACACGTGGTGTTTGATGAGAGTGAGGCGAGACAGACCAGGTGTGTTGTAGGTTTTGATGACAATAAAAGTCCAGTGGTCAGTCTTGATGGCTGGAGGGTGAGGGCGTCAAACATTGAGGGAGACTGGTGTTGGTTTACATGTGTGTCATGTGACTTAGAGTTGGTTGATGAACTGGACAAGATGTGTCGGCACTTTGATGGTCTATGTAAGAAAGTAGAGGACAAATACAGGAGATTTGTTGATGTGGACAAGTTGGCCGTTATAGTGTCACATCCTCATGGCTGTCCTAAACAGGTCTCTGTAGGACAATGGACACACAAACGTGAGAGGGAAAGTTGGTACAAGTACACGTACACAACATGTACATGTCCTGGCTCCAGTGGAGCACATGTCTACTTGCCGGAATATGTCAGGTGGTGGTTACATCCCCACAGTGGATCAAACTCTGAAGGAAATTATAGTGGGGAGGGTGGGTGGTGATCTATCTGTAACTGTTGATTCTCTCCCCTTGTCTAATGTAAACAAACAAAATGGCGGCTCCCTTCATTAAACTTGTGTGTGTCAGCAGCTTTGTATCCTGGTGAAGACAAGAAATAAATTGTTTGGTTTCTTTCACGTCATTTGTTTAGAGTTTAGAGTTGTTAGACACATAAACAAAATTATAAACAGATGTTTATTGTTTAGAAATGAAATATTTATAGGCTACACTTGTATCTTTGTTTTGTTTAAACCTCCACATTAGATTTGTCATCGCCATCATTGTCTTTATTTATACTTTAATTCATGTTTGTATTTGTTTACAAACTGTTTGTATTTGTTTACAAACTGTTTGTATTTGTTTACAAACTGTTTGTATTTGTTTACAAACTGTTTGTATTTGTTTACAAACTGTTTGTATTTGTTTACAAACTGTTTGTATTGATGTCAATAAAGATTTAGAAGATTTCAAAGTTTCTTTCGTGCAGTCAAGTTTGTAGCTGAGACTTAATGTCTGCAGTCAAGTTTATAGCTGAGACTTAATGTCGGCAGTCAAGTTTGTACTTAATGTCTGCAGTCAAGTTTGTAGCTGAGTCTTAATGTCTGCAGTCAAGTTTGTAGCTGAAAATTAATGTCGGCAGTCAAGTTTGTAGCTGAGACTTAATGTCGGCAGTCAAGTTTGTACTTAATGTCTGCAGTCAAGTTTGTAGCTGAGACTTAATGTCTGCAGTCAAGTTTGTAGCTGAGTCTTAATGTCTGCAGTCAAGTTTGTAGCTGCGACGTAATGTCGGCAGTCATGTTTGTAGCTGAGACTTAATGTCGGCAGTCAAGTTTGTAGCTGAGACTTAATGTCGAAAGTCATGTTTGTAGCTGAGACTTAATGTCGGCAGTCAAGTTTGTAGCTGAGACTTCATGTCCGCTGTCAAGTTTGTTGACTTAATTTCGGCAGTCAAGTTTGTAGCTGAGACTTAATGTCGGCAGTCAAGTTTGTATCTGGGACTTAATGTCGGCAGTCAAGTTTGTAGCTGAGACTTAATGTCAGCAGTCAAATTTGTAGCTGAGACTTAATGTCTGAAGTCAAGTTTGTAGGTAAGACTTAATGTCGGCAGTCAAGTGTGTATCTAAGACTTAATGTCGGCAGTCAAGTTTGTAGCTGAGACTTAATGTCGGCAGTCAAGTTTGTAGCTGAGACTTGACATAATGTTTTCAGTCAAGTTTATAGCTGAGACTTAATGTCGGTAGTCTAGTTTGTAGCTGAGACTTAATGTCTGCAGTCATGTTTTTAGCTAAGACTTAATGACGGCAGTCACGTTTGTATTTGAGACTTAATGTCGGCAGTCAAGTTTGTAGCTGAGACTTAATGTCGGCAGTCAAGTTTGTAGCTGAGACTTAATGTCGGCAGTCAAGTTTGTAGCTGAGACTTAATGTCGGCAGTCACGTTTCTAGCTGAGACTTAATGTCAGCAGTCAAGTTTGTAGCTGAGACTTAATGTCGGCAGTCAAGTTTGTAGCTGAGACTTAATGTCCCTAGTCAGGTTTGTTGACTTAATGTCGGAAGTCAAGTTTGTAGCTGAGACTTAATGTCGGCAGTGAAATTTGTAGCTGAGACTTAATGTAGGCTGTCAAGTTTGTAGATGAGACTTAATGTCTGCAGTCAAGTTTGTAGCTAAGACTTAATGTCGGCAGTCACGTTTGTAGCTGAGACTTAATGTCGGCAGTCAAGCTTTTAGCTGAGACTTAATGTCTGCAGTCAAGTTTGTAGCTAAGACTTAATGTCGGCAGTCAAGTTTGTATCTGAGACTTAATGTCGGCAGTCAAGTTTGTAGCTGAGACTTAATGTCGGTAGTCTAGTTTGTAGTTGAGACTTAATGTCGGCAGTCAGGTTTGTAGCTGAGACTTTATGTCGGCAGTCAAGTTTGTAGCTGAGACTTAATGTCGGCAGTCATGTTTGTAGCTGAGACTTAATGTCGGCAGTCAAGTTTGTAGCTGAGACTTAATGTCGGCAGTCAAGTTTGTAGCTGAGACTTAATGTCGGTAGTCTAGTTTGTAGTTGAGACTTAATGTCGGCAGTCATGTTTGTAGCTGAGACTTAATGTCGGCAGTCAAGTTTGTAGCTGAGACTTAATGTCGGAAGTCATGTTTGTAGCTGAGACTTAATGTCGGCAGTCAAGTTTGTAGCTGAGACTTCATGTCCGCTGTCAAGTTTGTTGACTTAATTTCGGCAGTCAAGTTTGTAGCTGAGACTTAATGTCGGCAGTCAAGTTTGTATCTGGGACTTAATGTCGGCAGTCAAGTTTGTAGCTGAGACTTAATGTCAGCAGTCAAATTTGTAGCTGAGACTTAATGTCTGAAGTCAAGTTTGTAGCTAAGACTTAATGTCGGCAGTCAAGTGTGTATCTAAGACTTAATGTCGGCAGTCAAGTTTGTAGCTAAGACTAAATGTTTTCAGTCAAGTTTGTAGCTGAGACTTAATGTCGGCAGTCAAGTTTGTAGCTGAGACTTGACATAATGTTTTCAGTCAAGTTTATAGCTGAGACTTAATGTCGGTAGTCTAGTTTGTAGCTGAGACTTAATGTCTGCAGTCATGTTTTTAGCTAAGACTTAATGACGGCAGTCAAGTTTGTATTTGAGACTTAATGTCGGCAATCAAGTTTGTAGCTGAGACTTAATGTCGGCAGTCAAGTTTGTAGCTGAGACTTAATGTCGGCAGTCAAGTTTGTAGCTGAGACTTAATGTCGGCAGTCACGTTTCTAGCTGAGACTTAATGTCAGCAGTCAAGTTTGTAGCTGAGAATGTCGGCAGTCAAGTTTGTAGCTGAGACTTAATGTCGGCAAGCAAGTTTGTGGCTGAGACTTAATGTCCCTACTCAGGTTTGTTGACTTAATGTCGGAAGTCAAGTTTGTAGCTGAGACTTAATGTCGGCAGTGAAATTTGTAGCTGAGACTTAATGTAGGCTGTCAAGTTTGTAGCTGAGACTTAATGTCTGCAGTCAAGTTTGTAGCTAAGACTTAATGTCGGCAGTCAAGTTTGTATCTGAGACTTAATGTCGGGAGTCAAGTTTGTAGATAAGACTAAATGTTTTTAGTCAAGTTTGTAGCTGAGACTTAATGTCGGTAGTCTAGTTTGTAGCTGAGACTTAATGTCGGCCGTCAAGTTTGTAGCTGAGACATAATGTCGGCAGTCAAGTTTGTAGCTGAGACTTATTGTCGGCAGTCAAGTTTGTAGCTGAGACTTAATGTCGGCAGTCAAGTTTAGAGCTGAAACTTAATGTCGGCAGTCAAGTTTGTAGCTGAGACTTAATGTCAGCAGTCAAGTTTGTAGCTGAGAATATCGGCAGTCAAGTTTGTAGCTGAGACTTAATGTCGGCAGTCAAGTTTGTTGCTGAGACTTTATGTCGGCAGTCAAGTTTGTAGCTGAGACTTAATGTCGGTAGTCTAGTTTGTAGTTGAGACTTAATGTCGGCAGTCATGTTTGTAGCTGAGACTTAATGTCGGCAGTCAAGTTTGTAGCTGAGACTTAATGTCGAAAGTCATGTTTGTAGCTGAGACTTAATGTCGGCAGTCAAGTTTGTAGCTGAGACTTCATGTCCGCTGTCAAGTTTGTTGACTTAATTTCGGCAGTCAAGTTTGTAGCTGAGACTTAATGTCGGCAGTCAAGTTTGTATCTGGGACTTAATGTCGGCAGTCAAGTTTGTAGCTGAGACTTAATGTCAGCAGTCAAATTTGTAGCTGAGACTTAATGTCTGAAGTCAAGTTTGTTGCTAAGACTTAATGTCGGCAGTCAAGTGTGTATCTAAGACTTAATGTCGGCAGTCAAGTTTGTAGCTAAGACTAAATGTTTTCAGTCAAGTTTGTAGCTGAGACTTAATGTCGGCAGTCAAGTTTGTAGCTGAGACTTAATGTCTGCAGTCATGTTTTTAGCTAAGACTTAATGACGGCAGTCAAGTTTGTATTTGAGACTTAATGTCGGCAGTCAAGTTTGTAGCTGAGACTTAATGTCGGCAGTCAAGTTTGTAGCTGAGACTTAATGTCGGCAGTCAAGTTTGTAGCTGAGACCTTATGTCGGCAGTCACGTTTCTAGCTGAGACTTAATGTCAGCAGTCAAGTTTGTAGCTGAGAATGTCGTCAGTCAAGTTTGTAGCTGAGACTTAATGTCGGCAGTCAAGTTTGTAGCTGAGACTTAATGTCCCTAGTCAGGTTTGTTGACTTAATGTCGGAAGTCAAGTTTGTAGCTGAGACTTAATGTCGGCAGTGAAATTTGTAGCTGAGACTTAATGTAGGCTGTCAAGTTTGTAGCTGAGACTTAATGTCTGCAGTCAAGTTTGTAGCTAAGACTTAATGTCGGCAGTCAAGTTTGTATCTGAGACTTAATGTCGGCAGTCAAGTTTGTAGCTAAGACTAAATGTTTATAGTCAAGTTTGTAGCTGAGACTTAATGTCGGTAGTCTAGTTTGTAGATGAGACTTAATGTCGGCAGTCAAGTTTGTAGCTGAGACATAATGTCGGCAGTCAAGTTTGTAGCTGAGACTTATTGTCGGCAGTCAAGTTTGTAGCTGAGACTTAATGTCGGCAGTCAAGTTTAGAGCTGAAACTTAATGTCGGCAGTCAAGTTTGTAGCTGAGACTTAATGTCAGCAGTCAAGTTTGTAGCTGAGAAAATCGGCAGTCAAGTTTGTAGCTGAGACTTAATGTCGGCAGTCAAGTTTGTAGCTGAAACTAAATGTCCGCAGTCAAGTTTGTTGACTTAATGTCGTCAGTCAAGTTTGTACCTGAGAATGTCGGCGGTCAAGTTTGTAGCTGAGACTTAATGTCAGCAGTTAAGTTTGTAGCTGAGACTTGACTTAATGTTTTCAGTCAAGTTTGTAGCTGAGACTTAATGTCGGTAGTCTACTTTGTAGTTGCCACTTAATGTCGGCAGTCAAGTTTGTAGCTGAGACATAATGTCGGCAGTCAAGTTTGTAGCTGAGACTTAATGTCGGCAGTCAAGTTTGTAGCTGAGACTTAATGTCGGCAGTCAAGTTTGTAGCTGAGACTTAATGTCGGCAGTCAAGTTTGTAGCTGAGACTTAATGTCGTCAGTCAAGTTTGTAGCTAAGACTAAATGTTTTCAGTCAAGTTTGTAGCTGAGACTTAATGTCGGCAGT